GGGGACCCCAAAAATGGGGGTGGAGGTCCCAAAAATGGGGGTGGGAGTCCCAAAAATGGGGGTGGGGACCCCAAAAATGGGGGTGGGGAACCCAAAAATGCGGGTGGGGAACCCAAAAATGGGGGTGGGGATCCCGAAAACACCTTGGTCATTTGGTGGGGTGGGGTTGAGGGTCTTTTAGGAGATCCTAAATCACCTGGACAGGTGAGGGACCCACCTTGGGATCTTCTGGAACACCTGGACAGGTGAGGGACCCACCTTGGGATTTTCTGGATTACCTGGACAGGTGAGGGACCCACCTTGGGATTTTCTGGATTACCTGGACAGGTGAGGGACCCACCTTGGGTTGGATCAAAGGGTCTTTTAGGAGATCCTGAATCACCTGGGCAGGTGAGGGACCCACCTTGGGGTATCTTGGATCACCTGGACAGGTGAGGGATCCACCTTGGGTGGCTCAGGGGATCTTTTAGGAGGTCCTGGAACACCTGGACAGGTGAGGGACCCACCTTGGGATCTTCTGGATCACCTGGACAGGTGCAGGACCCACCTTGGGTGGCTCAGGGGATCTTTTAGGAGGTCCTGGATCACCTGGATAGGTGAAGAACAACCCTTGGAGTATTTTGGTTCACCTGGGCAGGTGAGGGACCCACCTTGGGATCTTCTTGATCACCTGAACAGGTGAAGAACCCACCTCAACCCACCCCCTTCCCCCTTTTGATCACCCTCAAACCCCCTCCCCCCAGGTAACCCCCCCCCACCAAAGCTCTCCTCGACCTCACCATGACCTCACCCCCCACCCCTCCCTACGCTTGGGACCTCACCTGGAACGACACCTGGAACGACACCTGGGACGACCTCTTGGACCTGGACTCCGGCGAAATCCCCGCGGCTCACCGCGTCGTCCTCGCCCTCTACGCCGCCATTTTCCTGCTGGGCGTCCTGGGCAACGGCGCCGTGCTCTGGGTGACGGCGGCCGAGCTGCGCCGCGCCGTCAACGGCGTTTGGTTCTCCCACTTGGCCTTGGCCGACCTCCTCAGTTGTTTGGCTTTGCCTTTCTTGGCTTTACCGTTGACCAACGATCACCATTGGCCGTTGGGCGGCTTGGCCTGTAAGGTTTTACCGTCCCTGACGGTGTTGGCCATGTTCTCCAGCGTCCTTTTGTTGACGGTCATCAGCGCCGACCGTTACGCTTTGGTGACGCGACCGGTTTGGTGTCACAATCGCCGCACCCCCCTTTTGGCCAACGCCGTCTGCGCCGGCGCTTGGGCGGCGGCCGCCTTGTTGACCCTCCCGTCTTTCATTTTCCGAACCGTCCGCTTCGATCCTTTCTCCTCCAAAACCACCTGCGTGCTGTCCTACGGCGCCGCGGGGCGGCACCGGCGCGCCGCCGAGCTCGCCACCGCCGCCCTGCGCTTCCTCTGCGGCTTCCTGGCGCCGTTCGTCGTCATCTCGGCGTGTTACGGCCTCCTCTTGAGCCGGGTCAGGGAGAGGGGGTTCGGCAAATCACAAAAAGCCACCAAGACGGTTTTGGTGGTCATCGTCAGCTTCTTCGTGTGTTGGTTGCCCTATCACGTCGTGGGGTTGGTGTTGGCGGCCAGCGCGGCCGACACGGCGGCGTTCCGCGGCGCCCAAGCGGCCGATCCCGCCGTGGCGGGGTTGGCGTACGTCAACGGTTGCGTCAATCCCGTCATCTACCTGGTGATGGGGAGGGGTTTGGGGCAGGTGAGGCGCTCGTGGAGGGCGTTGATCAAAGGGGTGCTCAGCGATGACCCCACGAGCGCGGCCGGGGATGGGAGGGGACGCAGCGTGGTCACGGCCGAGGAGGGCACGGAGGGCACGGAGGGCACGGCCGTGTGAGGGGGTGGTCGTGGTCATGGTGGTCATTGTCATGGTCATGGTCATGGTCATGGTGGTCATCGTGGTCATTGTTATTGTTGTGGTCGTTGTCGTGGTCATGGTCATTGTCGTCATGGCCATGGTCATCATGGTCATGGTCATGGTCATTGTCATGGTCATTGTTATTGTCATGGTCATCGTGGTCATTGTCGTGGTCATGGCCATGGTCATCATGGTCATGGTCATGGTCGTTGTCATGGTCATGGTTGTCATGGTTATCGTTGTCATGGTCTTGGTCTTCGTGGTTGTGGTCATTGTCATGGTCATCATTGTCATCTTTGTCATGGTCATCATCTCATTGTCATTGTCATCATCATCATGGTCATTGTCATGGTCATTGTCGTGGTCATCATGATCATTGTGCTCATCGTTGTCATGGTCATGGTCATGGTCATCATCATCATGGTCATGGCCATCATTGTCATCGTTGTCATGGTCATGGTCATGGTCATGGTCATCATGGTCATGGCCATCATTGTCATCGTTGTCATGGTCATTGTCTCATTGTCATTGTCATCATCATCATGGTCATTGTCATGGTCATGATGGTCATGGCCATCGTTGTCGTTGTCATGGTCATTGCCATGGTCATGGTCAT